GTAACATCTTTATAACCTGTCAGTGGGAAAAAGAAAGTTCCATCTTTCAATGTCTGTTTTCAAGCCTAGGAAAATGAACTAAATGAATAGACAATTCAGTAATGTCCAACAGATAACTAAAATTCAGATTTTATTTTTCCATATGTATCAGACAATTTTTTTTTTCTGACAAGACTTTACTGAAAGATGAAGTGCAAATGGGAACCCTGTAAGAATGTTTATAAGAGTTGTACATGACATATTTTAAGCGCCACTAAGTACACATTGAATACTTTGTAAGTATATAGGCATATCAACATGCAAGTGTCATGTACCTAATATTACAATATGCATTTTGTTTTTTTTTTGAAAATGTTAATGATAACAGTAGATTCAATAATCGTGTTTATGTTCTGTGCTGTATGCTTGATTTCGGTGAATTTTTTTACAGCACAGAAATTATTTTTATGTTGTCATAAATATACCCTTCCAAAAGTTATGAATTTCATGTCATTTAAATAGAACATTTTATTTTTTGAAGCTACAATATTGGGAACACCTGCATTTTTGGGTACCATTTTCAGAGATAAGTCTTTAAATCTTTTTAACATGGTAGACTTGTTCCAATGTTGGTTATGTTGAAATATTTATGATAAAAATGGAGCTTTCTTGAAGGAATATTTTTTGGTTGAATGAAAAGCTAAACAACCAATTCACAAATATTGATGTGAACTGAATATGAAGAAAATAGGTCAGTAATTGCAAACTTGTAAATCCTTGAGTTACTACTTGACTGTATCATTGAATCTACAAGAAGTACAGCAGGTACAGTTAAATAAATTTGTAAAGAGATTAAAATTTTATACATTGTTAAGGAGAAAGAGAGAGTACTAGTTTTGAAAGATTCTAAATAATTTTTCTTTCTATTTGTGAGACTCATCCAATACATTAGAAACACAGAAGAAAGCAAAAAAGGATCAAGAGATAACAATTCATTTTACATTTCATAGTTTTTTTTTTTTTTTAACCAACTGGTGACCACTGCTTCAACCATCAAATATTTTATTGCATATAACTTTCACTATCAGCAAATATAAAGAGAAACGTGTCTATTAGTTCATGTACAAGGAAAAGCATTTGAAGAAGGAAAGCATTTGAGGTTCGACAGTACTGTGTGTAAGAGAAGTGTGTTGTGGCATTCATACCGCACTTAAAAGTCCGTGTAGGAATCTCTGCTGTTCTGACCCTGGATGTAGGAAAAAGTGCTTAAGTGCTGAGCCCTGGTAGGATTTTCTTTTGCCCCTGCAATCTTCAAATCTTTTAACTTTTCTTCTTTTTAAATATACATTATATTTCATAGGGGAAAATAGTGTTTTTTCTTTACATCTTTTTCACATTTGGGCCCATTCTCTCCAAAATAATCATACATTTCTTGTAGCACATATATATCTATATCTATATATCTAGATGTAGATATAGATATATGTAAAGATGGTAAAGATAAGACCAAATAGTATTTGTAACATAACCACATAACATAGAAACATCTTACTTTAACTTTAAGCATGTTTTATATATTCAGCATCATAATTTGAGATAAGTTCTTGAATCTTTTTCCCCCCAGAGGAAAATCGGCTTTTAAAATGTCATTTCTTTTTAAAATAATTAAATTACATCATTTGAAAACTTCATATTATGTCTATGCAGACAAAATAACGTGGGCATTTGTGGCAATACTTTGCATTCATTTTTCAGGGATTGATTGTTAATAAGGAAGTTGTTTTAAAAACTTATGCAGATAACACTTCTTGGCAAAATAAATTACACACATAATTTTTACTTAAAAACACAGTATCCATTTATATGAATTTGTTATATTTTAAATATAAATGAAATGTCAGATTGGATTGCAAAGTGTTGCCATTTAAGCTACTTTTTAAAAAAATCAACACAATTATATTACAATGAAGTATTAATAGGCGTGAAAAGAACTATACTTATAAAGTTGTCATATTTTTCTTATAGGAACAGCTAATGATAGAAAAAGAAAAACAAATGCAGATCCATACACCATTAAATACACTAAAAGAAGTTGGCTTTTGAGATTTCCCAGGGGGTGGGGAGTGGACTGTTAGGATAGTCCCAAAAGAGTGCTTTCCTGGGATATCTTGTAAATAATTATTTCTTCTATTTATATTGAAGTATAATAGCCCATGTTAAAAGTGAGAGGTAGAAGGATTATTGTAAGTATGCATGGCAGAGAACTTACCAGCTATATCCAATAACTATTGCATTCACTATTAATAATCTCAATACATAAAAATGCTGATGAGTTTAGAACCCATTCTTATATGTTGTTCCCTTTAACTCTCTTTTTATCTTGCTACTTTCAATCCATTGCCTTTGGAAGGGTATAAGTGCAAAGGGCATGTTTGGGATAGAGTAAGGAGAGAAAGGGAAAAAAAATGACTAAAAAATATATAAAAAACTTTCATTAAGATACAGTGATTGTTTATTATTAAAGGTGGCCTATGTTTTCTGATGGAATAAATTTGTTTTTGATAATAAAATAACCATAATCCATCAAAACATACATGCATTTCAAAGAAAGTTTAAGAATACCAAATTCAATTAAGTGTAAATTAAAATTTAAAACTTAGATGCTTCTTTCTCTCCCATAATACTAAAAACTAGGCCAAATGAGTTTTATTGTCACATTAATTATTAAGTAAACTTAAGTTGTATCCGTAATTTAAACTTTAGTATGTGGACACTGAAGATCAGTAACTTCTAAATTTTGTAGAAAAATTCTTTAAAATCCCTTTGCATTAAGAATCCAGCAATAGAATTGCAGACATTGCACTGAGTATTTATCAATATTGCCAGTGTATATTTCAAAACAAGTTCTATTATCTACACTAAGATTTCCTCTTTCCCAATATTCAAAATGCATATTATAATTACATGGGTTTCCAACATCCATACACAGCAAGTACAAGATACTTACATGTACGTACAGTGTAGTTACCTATATTTTGCATAGTTTTTAGTGTGTACTTTGTGCCACTTAATAAAAAGCATTACTCAGTAATTCTCATTAGGTGTTTCATTTATTTTAGCTGTGGTTGCAGGCTGTTTGCATTTGTTTGTTATGCTTTGTTTTGTATATTCATGACAGATTACCATTGCAAAGGGGGGCAATTTGGGGCATTTTTAGTGGGCTCTAAGTAATCAACAAGAAGATGGGAAAGTTGTAGTAAAATATGAAGCTTGCATTTTCTCCACATTTAAAAAAATGTAATATGAAATTTCATATTTATCATTCATTAAATTATCTTTATGTCCATAGGAAAAGGAAAATTATTTTAAATATTCCCCTTGGTAACACTTTGCAATAAGTGGCACTAAATTACACGATAACTGCTATGTTACATGGAAGAACCATCACCGTCAAACAGCTGCTGTACATGTGCCTATGTGGAATCTCAATGCTGCTACAATCATGAGTACATAATTACAAGTGAGCCTGTCCTTTAATTAAGATATTTATATTTTTACAAAGAAATAAAAATAAATGAGGTGTTAGCTTCTTTGCCATTTTTAGGAAAGTTAATTTTCTTTCTCTATTTGTTATTTTAATGTTGGATTTCAGAGCAAGATTATGCATCTTGAATCAATACGAGATCATCCAGTTTCTACATTAAACTCCAATATCAGGTTCCTTAAACAACTGCTTCTTGGATTCTCTGGTAAAAGAAAACAAGTTGAAGTCTCTCTCTCTCTCTCTCTCTCTCTCTCTCTCTCCCCCTTTCTCTCTCTCTCTCCCCTTCTCTTTCTCTCTCTCCCCACTGTCCTACACACACACGCACACGCACACGCACACGCACACTCACACACACACACACCCCACCAGTACTCTATTCATACTCTCTATCTTCATTCTTGCACTCACAAACTTTCCTTTTACTTCCTAATTTTGACAATCATTCTGTCTAGGAAACTCAAAAACGGACAAAAAGAATAAAAGAATGTTGTTTTCACTTTTTTGATGGAGGACAACCGATTAACACACTAAACAGGACACTGGAAGGGAAAAACTACTTTTGATAAAAAATAATGTTCCATATTCTACTAGGGGTGTGTGCGTGTGTGTGTGTGTGTGTGTGTGTTTGCGCACATTCCTCACATTGAGTCCCATAGCTACTGTGCTCACTAAGCAGAGACTGAATTGGCTTTATGTGCATACTAGTGTGCACGATTCAGACACTACTAGTGACATGGTTCTATTTAGAAATATTAACTCATTTTTTGTGGCTTTTATACAAAGGGGAACAATTTAAATTTACTTCCTTGTTTAGTGAAAATAATTTTTAACGCTAGGAAAATATAATTCATTGCAGTTTTTTTTTTTTTAGTAACAGAAACTGATAACTAATCAGATCAGTATTTTTAAATGAACTGGCAGAACTTTTGATTAAAGCCCACAAATCATACCAGTTAGTTTCTCTTAGAGATTTCTAATGGGTTTATATATTACTGTAATGGGTTAAAAGTCAAAATCTTGAAATAAAACAAATTTTGGATTTCTAATTTTATAGTGCTCTAAATAACGATTGAGTTATTTAAGCAACAATTTAGCAGTTGGAGCCAAGTAGAATATAGATGAAATGAAGAGGGATGTAAATACAGCATCGATGAAGAGTAGCAATTTTGTAAGTGCATCCTGAAATTAGGCTTTAAATAGTAATTGATGATGCAGTTTATACAACTTACTTCTGTAATAAGAACCTTTCCATTTTGTACTAACAGGATGAATTTTGCTTTGTGGAGTCTTTCTAAAGATTATGCATTGAAAGATATGAACAGTTTATAAACCTATTCTAGTTTCAATGTGTCTAGTAGCACCTACCTGATTCTCTCAAACTACCATACTATATTAACATATTATTGCATTTTTCCACAGATGGTATGGGGTGAACTGTAAAAACAAGCATGCAATCACATCAATGCAGACTTATTTCCTTAAAATGTCATACTGTATATGATTTATTATGTTAACACTCAACCACATCATATTATTTATGTTCTGTATATTCTGAAAAAGTGCTGCTTGACTGACATCGTCCTTTTTCTTTTGTAAGAAATCAACAAGATAAATGCTTCAACAATAAGAAAAAACAATTTAAAAATTCTAATGTTGTCTTTAAAAGATTTATACTTTCTGATAAATAAGATACAGCACCCTTGTCTTTCATTTGATATTAATACATGATGTCATACTCAACCATTCTCATTCCCCAAAAATAAATTCCAAGATATTATTTTTAAAACCATAGGCCATCATGCTTTCAGACATCTCAAGTATAGCTACCATATTGTCACATTTGTTTTCTTCTTAAAGGTGCAATGTTTGTGAATGGGAAAATAATTTTTATCTAACTGGATTTTGAATCTTTAGCATATAATAAATTTAATGAGAACTAATCTAGCAATATTATATTTTACTAGAAGAAATAATATGACTTTAGGTTGACTCTGTGTCATATTTAAGAATACAGTATTTCTTAATGGTTAAATACACCAAAAATTTCAGAAATAATCCAGAGAAAGAGACTTTCACCTTGGAGTTAAAAGCATGGCAGAAATTCTCTATTACTCACTGTTTTATAAGTTTGTACCTCACAAAATGCATAGACAGGAATTTAATATAAAGAATTAGTTCATTTATACAGAAAACATATTTTAAACACATCTTTTTTGGCAAACCAACATAGGTAAGCAGTTCTGGAACGGTCAAATTAAAATTTGTAAATTTTTAGCAAACTAAGAGTTTATTTTTAGGTTATTATTCAACTGTGGTTGTAATTTAAAACCTGAGGCTGTGCACTGGTTGTTAGCTTAAAATTACCTTTCCTTATAACATTGTGCTTCCGTTGTATAACAAATAAAAATTAACAAGAACTAGAAAAATTTGTTGTTGAACAGTGCTAGGACATACAGACAAAAATACTAACACATGTTATCTACTTATAATATTGGTTTAAGTAATAATATCTAAAGGGATATAATGGACATTAGAAAATGCTTATTTATGACTGAATTACCTACAGCCAAAAAAGTTAAATATGTATCAAATAATGTTTAAGTGGATTTATTATATGCACTATATACAAATACTAAAATGTCTCAAAATTGTGCCCTATGGATATTTCAGTTCTGTTTAGGCATGTGAATCCTTGTGGAACAAATAAATTATAGAATCAAATTAGAGAAATGGATGAAATCTTTGTTATTCCCAAAGTAGTAAAATGTTTGGATCAATGTATTGGTAAGTGAAGCTAAAATAACCTAAAGGTAGGATCTCTATAATTATATAAGATGTCTGTCATCATTAGAATCCATACACAAGGCTCCTGTATCAAATACTATAATTTCATATAGCAAATTGATGCAGCATTACCAATATAATCTCAAACATTCCAGAATCTACACTAGTGTTTTCAGTGTATGTTTTCTAGGGTATGTTTCCAAATCATGTCTTTGAAGGAAGACATGTAGAAAACATTATTTGTAAACCTCTAATCTCTGATTAAACTTAAGCACATTCGGTCATCACCTTTTCCTGTTCCTTGTGAAACTGTCCAATGGTAAGCTGAGAAGGTATATGATTTGAAGGGGAAAAAGAATGAGGGGGGAAAAAAAAACTTCATACATTTCTTTCAATGTATAAAAACAATTCAATATCATGGTCCAAGGAGATGATTAACATTGTTAAGGCTGTATATTCAAGCACTGTATGTTAAAAGAGCAATGATGTGGAATTTAGGCAGTAAGAAATGTCCTGCATTATGGATGGTACAGTAATTAAAGAATGATGCTTTTGACAGCTGATTGTTGGTATACACTGGCTACTGATAGCAGTACAGTATGGAAGTTAATAAAGGTAGCAGAAGATGGTAGAAATGAATTCTGAAAGATGATAGCCAGTTTTCTCCAGCAGCCAGCCTGGTAAGTAAAACTTAGAATCTTGGCCCACATTTTAAATGAAATACTCTTTTTTCTCCTCAGCATTGACTTGGCTGCCTTCAGCATTGATAATGGCTGTGTCAGCATCTGGTGCATCTTCAGCTCCTTTAGCTTCATTTGTTAAATATGTTCCTGTGAATATTAGAAGAAAAACTTGTTAGTTCTAGGAGACTGGTAAAATAACCAGCATTAAAGCTACATTCATTTAGGAAGGCAGTTATGCCATATTTCCTATACATTGGGACATTTTCTGAGGCATAATAAACCACACAATCTACGCTTCTAAAGTTGTACTGTTTTTTCCGTTTTCAGGTATATACTGTAGATGAAGCTGTGACCAGATTAACTAGAGGCAATAGCCAAAGTGGTGTGGCTAATGAGTACTTTCATTTCTTTAATGATGGATCTAGACCACATGATCATGCAGCTGTAGCAATCAGGGTCCTTTGTTATGATGTTGATAATGAACACATCAAATGCACCATCATTCATTTTGGTAACTACATTTAAAATTGATTATATCAATAGCTTGCTACACAACCCATTGCAAGGAATCACATATATTCCTCCCTAATGGGCCACACATTTTCATAAACTTGCAAACAAAAACAATGACCAAGTTGTTAAAGTTACAGTTGAATTTTAAATATTAAATTTTAAATATTAAAGTCGTAGAAATAGATTACAAACTTGCTTCTGTATTTGTTCTGATCCAGTGACTCAGACCTCATGACTTTTGGCCATTGACTAAATACATTCTCTCTCTCTCTCTCCTCTCTCTCTCTCTCTCTCTCTCTCTCACACACACACACACACACACACACACACACTCAATATTATATGAAGATGTTAGTCTTTAGAATTCTTTTGTCAAAGTTTGGAATACTATATTAAATATTCCCTACCTTTATGTCTTGCCAGATAACGACCAAGCAGAAAAATAGAACACAGAGTGACAAATACAACTACAGCCACTATTCCTCCTATAAGAGCATGATCAGGACCAGTCTGGCCAGCCAGAGCATTGGGATCTAGAAAACAGAAGAAAACATTGTTCAAGTTACTATGTTATTTAAGCACAGAATACATAAATGATTAGAATGAGTTATTGTGAAAATGAGCAGATTTCTATTAAAATAAACTTTCTTGAATATGTATTACACTAATCTTTTAGCCAACAAATATATAGTGTGTGCTATAATATATGTGATATCTGGGGATGTAACACTTGACAAATCAATCACAGTTGTCATTGAGTTCAAATTTTTAGAGAGAGATTTGACTGTGAGACTAGACACGCATATATGCTATTATATCAGTTATGTGTGCTATTTTAACGTGATGACAATAACTATTTTTGAAATGAAACTATATCATGGTAATGGCTATATATTTGTGTAAGTTTTCATTATGTAAATGCTTAGAGGAGAGGAAATTGATGAACTCCTCAAGAAAATATGTCTGGATAGAGGGGAGAAGAGGCCTGGAAACTTAAACATAAGGAAATCCCCTTTGTACAGTCTAGAAAGAAAAAAAATGCTTCCAGAAAAACATATTGAGGACTCTTGAGAAGTACGCTGTGGCTGATCAAAGGGTAGAAGGCATTTAGGGGAAGAGAGATGTTCCAAACTGTATCAACTATTTTTGATGGAATAATTAATACTTGACATTGAGGAGTTAGTGCTTATTGAATTTGTAGCTTTGGAAGAAGTGATGGGAAAGATACAGATTAATAATATATTTTTACATTCTGCCTTAGGAAAATATTAAAGGAGAGAGATGATCCCAGTAGAGTATGCCCAGTTTTGAAGCAGAAACAAAAGGATCAAAAGAAAATCAAGACTTTTTGGGTACTCAAAAGGTGAGAAAATCAATTATTTGTAGAATTTTCACAATACGGATAAAATCGAGTAAAACTTTGAACTACAAAATCCATTATTGCCCAATCCCATAGCAAAGAAGAGACTGAATATACTGTCTACTTTTCAAAGCCCATAATTGTAGATAACTTTGTGGTAGCTTTCAATTGTTTAAAAGTAATTTAGGAGATAGAAAGTAAAGACATAAATTAATCTTAGCAATTAAGCTTTCAAAAGACCTTGGGTATGGTTATAGACACGTAAATATGACAAGTAGTTTAGATGTCCACTATGGCTTTAATGGAACCATTCTGTCAGAGAAGCATATCTATAGATTGAAAAAAAAAAAAAAAAAACAAAACAGTCTCTTTGAAACCTCAAACAAACTCTGGGCCACCAAAGTTGATGAACTCAAGAAGTAAACTGTAACAGCTATGGCCCTATGGAAGATATGTTCCCAAACAACAACTTAGGCCACACAGTGTGACAAACAAGGTTAAATTTCCCAGAGTGGAGTTAGGAAAAACAAAAAAGAACAAAGAGAATCCAGTTTCTTCAGGGAAGTACAACTCTTGCTAATGCAGAGATCATTTGAAAATCAATCTGCCATGTTTTCACAATTGCTATGGACCAGTGACTAAGCAGTATTTCCCATTTTTTCTTTATTTCCAAGTAAGAGTTTTTCCCTCCAGAAGTGCTTCTTCTCCTGGCACAGTTCTATCATTGTGTACTGTGTATGAGTGGAGAGGAGCATTAATAATTTGTTTTTTGGTTCATTTGTCCCTAGGCCCCAGTGTGATGAAGAGGATTGTCTATATCTCAGAATCTTGGTCTTTGAGTTGGATACACTGATTTGATGGAACCATTGGTTGTCTCTTGGTGATCAGAATGGAACAGAGAATTTGAGCTGACAGCAAACTTACTACTTTTTCTTTCAATACACAGAGGTGAAATATTTTCCAGCTTCACTTGCAGTTGAATGTAAATATGCAATTTATGTTTTAGACAATCAAATGAAGGCCCAAACAATAATAATCTCCCACATGTAACACTCCAGGGTTACATACACCTATCCAGGAAATATACAAGTTTAAAATGAAAGAACTAGGAATAAATAAGGTTAGGGAAGCAATCTCTACTTGGAAGAAATTTACCCAGCTCAACTCAGACCACATGCATCAAACTCCTTGAGAAAAATAAGTAAATATAAGGCTCATTTTGAAAAAAACAAAACAAAACAAAACAAAACAAAAAAACATTAAAAGTTAACCTAGTAACAGCAGTTATTGTTAATTTAGATTTCTCCAATATTTTTTTCAATTTTCCCTTAATTTCTGACATCAATGATAGATTTCAAAACAAACAAAAAAAGGAGCAAAAGATAAGCCTTTTCCCACTAGGGAGGGCCCCAAATTTTCTATTTTACAAGCTCTCTTCATAAAAAGGTAAAGATATGTAATTAATTTTATCAAACTTCTTTGTTATGATGTCAAACTTGCTGGTCAGGATTTAAAATGCTTTGGTATGACTGGATTAGACACAGAGAGATTTATGTTGTCATCTACTATACTTTAATCCATGTAAAATATATTTCATTCTATGATATTGTTAGGCAAAATGAGGGGCACCACAGGACCTCCAAATGCCTGCTTTAAATGGGTTCCGTCATTTGCTGCATAGACATACAAACTCTTAGTGCATAAGACCTTCAATAAAGAGAACTTTAATAGAATTAGTGTGCAATGGAGAAAAGAAAGGATAATAGTTTCCAATAAAACACCCAATGTTCCCCACCCCCTTGTGGGTAAATGCCCAGCCAAAATCTCAAAAACCTGGCAAGACGGAAAGCTTGCCACAAATCTAAGTCACCTTCTACTGGGGACCCATAAGAAAGAAGGAGAAAGGGCCAGGCAAGCCTGAGAGGAAAAGAGCAAAATCATGACAAAGGCTGCCATTGCTTGCCTCCTCATGGGTCTATCAACCATATCTCTCTCTCTTTCCATGTCCCCCAAGTTGCTGGTACAAGTCCAAGCGAGGCAAGTGCAGTTGCTTCTTCATATGTCTCTCTGCTCCACATGCCTCCTCCAAGTCTTCTAGTCATTTCTAGCTTCTCCTCACTGCTCAGCTCCACCCTTCCTTAGGTGGGGCAAGGAACCTGGAACCTCCCCTTTCTATGGATATCACACTGCTAGAATTTGAGGTTAAAAGGCCTTCCTGGTGGTGCAGGGTGTTAAGACACAACCTATAAAGCTATCTGCACTCACTATAGCACAAGTTCAATCCCGGCCAGGGAGCTATCCACATGGCGCAGCAGACCTCTCCTGATTTGCCCGCTGCTCCCCTCAGCAATGTACTTCGGTCAGTCTGCCTGTTCAGCTCCTCACTCTGTCTCTGGTGAATCCTCTCACACCCCCCACACCTCTGGACTGTATCCCAGTTCTTATATGCATAAAATAAATAAATCTTTTTTTAAAAAAAGACAAAATAAAATAAAAAAAATAGAATTTGAGGCTAAAGTATAAAATGTAACTTTATTCTTATTGAAAGCCAGTTATTCCCCATATTTCTTTCCTCAATAACTATTGCCACTTACCATAAACTATGGAATGTTTTTGCATATTCTAGCCTATTCTATGTGAGGGATTTCTATGTGCATTTTTTACATTATTTACAAAGTTTAAAAAATATTTTAATTGAGTAGAAGCCTTAGGTCATTTTCAGAACATTATAATTTTGACTTTAATATATATTTAAATATTATTACATTTTCATTACATTTATGCTTCTTTTTTCAATTTCCATTAATTTAGTTTTTTAATATTCTAAAGCATTATGTCTAATATTTGTCAAGATTATAGGTGTCATTCTTATTTGCTGACCATCAAACTTACTAATTTAATTAGAGTTTCCTATGTTCTCCTAAGGCTTTTCTTTTTCTATTTGATGCCACATCCTATTTTCTTTTTCTACTGCAAAGTGTTTTGTGAGCAATAATGACAATATCATCCTGATTATGATCTCAGAACTGCAATAAAAATCTGAATGACTAGTCACAGGGCTCCCTTGATAGTGGTTTGTCTCATCTCAATATCTAGATTTATTTTCATAGTTGCTATTTATCTAAAATTTGATAGTAAAAGTATTCATCCCTTTATGATATGGAGCACATATCTTATCCATTATATTTTGATATTTTCCTTAGATATATTTTCCTAATATGTTTCTAGTTAAGATTTTGCTTCATTTGAAAATCTAATTTTGTATTAAAATTAGAAACTTCATTTATTTTTTGCTTATGAATTCTTTCTTTTCCACTTTTAATAACTGTTTTTCTTTCTATTTTTCCCCATGGGAAATCCAATTATACACTGATAGAAACTAATTTGTCACATACATGCCATTCCTTGTTTACTATTTTTATAATAATTTTACTAATTTACATTTTGTTTTGTTTGTATTTCCCAAGTTCATCTTCTGCTTAGTTGATTTAATATTCTATCACAGATTTTCTTCAGAAAGCATTTTGTAATTATGACATTCTCTATTTAATCCCACTCTGTATTTTGTTACATGTTTTTAGCAGTTTATATTATTGACAATAAAAGTGGTAGGAGTGTAGTATTTTCTTCATTTAAGTATAATTACATTTAAACACCTGGGATATTATTTTTCATTGGTGAACACACATTATTTCTCATTAATTACACTTTTTCACTGGATACAATTGAATATCGTTATTATGTTTACATGTCCTTGCATTTTTTTCTTAGTTTTGTTCTTCCCCCAAACCAGTTTCATTCTTGTTGTTTTATTTTGAAGAAAGGCTGTCTGTTTTAATCCCTTTGCTTATTACTGCTCAGCCATATGTTACACATCAATCTACCTACAGAAATTATCTTTGTAATTGAAATATGGGTCATTTGAGTTGTGTACATAGTGAATGGATTACAGATTGTTGGAGTATATATGATCATTATTGGTAAGAGGTCTCACTGAGAAGAGAGTCCACTGATTTGTTTCATATTTTTAAACTATAATCATTACTTTCACAGTAAAATCTCACATAATATTTAAGTCATTCATTCTCCCCTTTCTTTTCTACATTAGAATAATTAGCTCTGTTAGGTCTGTTTTAAGTCAATTTTCTCTTATATTCATCACTGCATATATTT